ACAAGAGTCTTGACTCCCTCCTCTTTGGGGCAGCCCTTCAAGCATCTAAAGCTGTCTCTCATGTCCTCTTGGTCTTTCTCTTTGTTAAGCTAGACATACAGAATTCCCTTAACTGTACATCATTCATCCTTCTCAGAAATGCACAGCTGCCATTCCTAATACAGGTAATTCCCGACTTAACCACCTTTCTTTAGCGATGGTTCAAAGTTACAACGGCACTGGAAAAAAGTGACTTATGGCCGTTTTTCACACTTACGACCATCCCTCCCATGTTTTAAAGTCAGGCGCTTGGCAAGCGACTCGCATTTATGACGGTTTTAGTGTCCCAGGGTCACTTTTGAGACCTTCCGACAAGCAAAACCAATGGGGAAGCCGGATTCACTTAACGAACGCGTCACTAATTGAACAGCTGCAGGGATTCACTTAACAACTGCGGCAAGGAAAGTCGTAAAATGGGGCAGAACTCACTTCACAACGGTCACGCTTAGCAAGGGGAAAATGTGGGACCCAGTTGCATGTCGTTCTTAGGGATGCATAGCTACCTTCCCATTATAGGAGAGAAAATGAAAGAGTATTTCATTTATTATTGTTATTTTTGTCTGCTTGAACTTAAAATAGCTCCACTCCTTCCTTCCGCGTTGCCCCATTTTTAATTTCATTGGTGACAATGGAGCGTGAAGGAATGTTGAAGAACCAGCATTTTGAAATATAATAAGGGCAACTAGGGCTGTGAAGGGTCTTTCTGCAAGGTTTGCATGCTATTTGGAGACTCAGATGAAATATAACAAAAAATTTCTCCTTGGGCTTTGCTATAAAAGGTCTGGATAAGGAAGGATTTACTGCCCAGAATAGAACACCTTATTTCATCAGCTTCATTCTGATGCTTCAGTTGATAAATCTTACCTGTCCGTAACTATTGATCCTAATAGTTGGGGGTGGGGTGAAAGTTTTAACTCAGCAATATAAAAGGATGGGAGGGAGGGATGAAGGAATACAAGGGAAGGAGGGGAGAACGGATGGAAGGATGGATGGATGGATGGATGGATGGATGGATGGATGGATAGATGGAAGAGGGAGGGAGGGAAGGAAGAAGAAAGGGAAGGAGGAAGGGAGGAAAAGAACAAAAGGGGAGCTAAGGATGCAAGAGGAAGAAAGAATAAAGAAGAGGAAAAGAAAAGGAAAAGAAAGAAAAAGGGGAGGGAGGGAGGAGAAGAAATAAGGAAGGAAGGAAGGAAAAGGAGGATGGGCAGTTGGAAAAGGGAGAGGGAATGAGGGAAGGAAGAATAAAGTGGGAAGCAAGAGGAAAAGAATGAAAGGAACTAAGCAAGCAAGTGGAAGAATGGAAGAATAAAGAAGAGAGGAAGGAAAAGAAAGAAAGGAAAGAAAGAAAGAAGGAAGGAAGGGAAGGAGGGAGGGAGGGAGGAAAATAATGAGAGGATGGATGGAAAAAAGGGGGAGTGGGAAGGAAGAGTAAAGAGGGAATAAATGAAAGGGGAACTAAGGAAGGAAGATAAAGGAAGAAAAAATAAAGGGAGGGAGGAAAAGAAAGAAAGGGAAGGGAGAGAGAAGAAGGAAGAAATAAAGAGGGGAAGGTAAAGGAAAGGAAGGAAGGCCCATATCTAATAATCTCAATGGCCCTCACGCTGTTGTGACTACAGTTCCCAGAATCCCCTAGGCCCACACCTGGTGCATTTCTACGGTTTTTAACCCGCTCTCTGGCCTTTGTTTTAGGCATCATCGGCACCAACAAAGCGATAGGGAAATACATCACCACCATGATCTTCCTCTACTTCGCCTGCCTCCTGCCCACCATCGCTTTCGGCTCCCTCAATGACGAAAACACCGAGGGGGTCATCGGTGAGTTGGCCTTGCCTTCGTGACTTTCAGGATTCCCGGCGGGGTGGAGGGAACCTTCTGGGCATTGGGGGGAAAATCCCTTTGTCAACATGTCCTGCGCAGAAGGGGAAAAAAATAATCCCTCTCTGTTCTGACCCAAATCTCGTTCCAAGGAAACAAACACCAAACGGAGGTAACAGCAAAACCTTGTCATGATTCTTTACGAATTCCGTTCCTTCCCGGTTAAAAGGCTGTTTCAAATTAACTGTTTCTGATAAGAATGAGCCTTGCCAAGGTGGTGCAAGGCTGCCAAGAACACCAGATAAAGTTGCCAAGGAATATTTCAAACACAAAGAGTCTCCAAACACAAACCAAGATATTCCGGACGTCCACAAGGCTCGAGTGCAAAAACGTCTTTGCTTCCTGCAAAGAACTCCGGTTTCTCAGCTGGCTTTTATCTCTTGAGGGAGGGGTCATTGCTTTGCAGCCTTATTCCTCAGTCGCCCGTGCTGCTGCAGCTGCTCTTTCTTTCGAGCAGCCCTGCACGCATGCGCACTCAGCACAGGCTCCTTGGGGGCCTCTTCCTCACTGCTGCCAGCCTCCACAATCTCCGAAGGCAGCACTCCACTCCCTGATGGTCCTGGCGCCATCCCTGCATCACACGCAGGCCCCTCATCCAAGTCCTCACTCTCCGAGACCTCAGCCGTCCGCACCTGCTGCCGCTGAACCACAACACTCTAGCAGAAAAGTACAGGCAGTCCTCAACTTAACGACCGCAATTGCCTTCCAAATTTCTGTTGCTAAGCGAGAAATCTGGTTTAAGTCAGTTTTGCGAACCCTCCTCAGTCGAATTGGCAGCACTGGGAACATCTGTACTGTCAACTCATAAAATAGGTCTCTGGTCTTTTTAGAGTTGCCAACAGAAAGGGAGGGGGGAGCAGTGCGGCAGCTTGCAAACTGAAAGTGCATTCCATAAATGTTTTCAAAGATAGGAAGTAGATGACTGAAGTTTCTGCCGCGCAAATACCTAACTGGAGAGCATGACTCGGGACTATGGAGGTGTCCCATTGGAGAATATGAATTATGACACACCCAGGAGGTACAGGGGGGAGAACCAGGGTCAAGGGTGACAATGAATGATGTGCCTCAGAGTCAGCTACATCCAGACAGTGCCGGACATTTAACATCCAATAAATCCTTTTGAAGTTTTGGAAGTTTTGGCTCAAGACTCAGGATTTAAATGGGGTTAAGTGCCGGAATCCTGACATGTATATTTGAATTATTTGCAGAATTTACTTTGTACAGGTTAAGTCTTGGATTTAACGACAGCTCGTTTTAGTGACCGTTCAAAGTTACAACGGCATTGAAAAGAGTGGCTTGTGACCATTTTTCCACACTTAACGACCATTGTAGCAGCATCCCCGCACGGTTAATGTGATTTACCTCCAGAATGCTTGAAAACCAACTCACATTTATGACGGTTGCAGCGTCCCGGAGTTGTGTGAATCCGACCCTTGTTTTTTTTTTTTTTGGGAGACTTTTTGACAAGCCAAGTCGACGGGGGAAGCCCGACTCACTTAACAACCCTGTGGCTGACTTAACAACTGCAGGGATTCCCTTCACAACCGAGGCAAGAAAAGTCGTAAAATGGGGCAAAACGGTCACTTCACAAATGTCTTCACTTAGCGATGTAAATTTTGGGCTGCATTGCGGGTCGTATGTATGTTGAGGACTCCCCGCCTTTAAAAACCCGATAAAATGTTGGAGTGCAGCGATGAACAGCAAATAAAAATAAAAATAAAACCCCTTTCCAAGGAAGGACGGCTTTTAAAAATGGTCGTTTTAGCTAGAGACGGCTCTAAAAATAAATAAAAGGCCGTAGCAAGGATTTATTTTTTTAAAAAAAAATTAAAAACAGTCTTCTGTCCAAAGGAAAACACAAGCCTTTGTTGGAACCAGACCAAGATCTCTTAGCTTTATTTTTCTGCTTTTGTCTACTGGGGCCCAAAGTCCAGGAAATTCCATTTTTTTTCCTGATTTTGAAGGTTATATAAAAGATAAGAACAGCCGATCTTGCTGAGCTGCAGGGACAGAGTTGTGCTAAGGCACACAAAAAAAATGTCAGGATTCCGGCAGTTACTCCAATTAAATCATGAGCCTTGAGCCACACTCCCAAAACTAAAAAAAAAAAAGATTTATTTGAAGGTAAAATTCTGGCATTTACCTGGGTGTAGTCAACTCTGAGATACATAATTCACTGTCACCCTTGATCCTGCTTTTCCCTCCACCTCTCTGGGTGTATCATCCAATGAAAAATGTCCATAACCAAGAGTCATCAATTAGATTAATTCGATTTTTGCTTGGCAGAAGCTTCAGTCATCTAATCCGTGTTTGAAGAAAATAGGAACGGAATGTACTTTCGATCCCACAGTGCCGCCTGCCCTTTGAATCTCCCCCTTCTTTCTGTTGTCAACTATAAAACATGTATACAAAATGTTTTATGAGTTGACACACACACACACACACACACACACACACACACACACACAAATACACATAGACACCTCCCTGAAAACCTAAAGGAGTCTCAGACTATGGCTTCAACCTTGTTTATTCCTAGAGGCTCCTCT